AGCCTCCCTTCAGGTCCCGCACTGCAGAAATTTACAGAGGTCAGCAGGATGACACACAGTACAGAGGTCAGTAATGTAACGTACAGTACAGAGGTCAGCGGTACAGAGGTCAATAATTAAGCACAGTACAGAGGTCAGCAATAACGCACAGTTCAAAAGTCAGCAGTGTAAGGCAGAAATAACGCACAGTACAGAAGTCAGCAATAACGCACAGTGGAGAGGTCAGCGGTGTAAGGCAGAAATAGTGCTCCGTGCAGAGGTCAGCAATAGCGCACAGTGCAGAGGTCAGCAATAGTGCACAGTGCACATGGCTGACCTGATTCAGGTGCCCTTTTCTTCACCTGGTGTGGGGGGGGGAGGTACAGCGATCTGTCCTGTCCGACGTGAAGCCTCCCTTCAGGTCCCGCGCTGTCCTGACTGCCAATTGGAGCTCTGCAGTCTTCCTCCCAGCCTATGGCAGCTAACGTGGGGCGGAGGAAGACTGCAGATGACGTACAGCCAGCTGAACATTCTCCCTTCTCTTCGGCAGCTGTAGAGCGGCCAAAGAGGAGAAGAGAAGGGGGAGAGCTGAACGGGTGATCGCCGCTGCTGAAGCGGCAGCAGATTCCCCTCTCGTCCTGCTCGCCCCCACGCAATTTTCACTCACCAATTGGGAGGGGGCAAGTGGAAATTTTGAGCCCTGGTATATAGTGTCAAGTTTAAACAGAGTCCCGGCGGCAAGTCACCGGGAGTCTGTTTAAACAGCCCCGATGCTGGCGACGTACACTGTACGTCGTCAGTCACCAAGGGGTTAAAAACTGCATGTTGTGTTTACTTTGACTAATATTTAAATTTGTTTCATGATCGGAAACATTAAAGTGTGACAAGCGTGCAAAACATATAATTTTTAAGAGGCTCCTCTGTCCTGCACTCATTACCTGTATCAATGGCACCTGTTTGAACTTGTTATCAGTATAAAAGACACCTGTCCACAACCTCAAACAGTCACACTCCAAACTCCACTATGGTGAAGACCAAAGAGCTGTCGAAGGACACCAGAAACAAAATTGTAGACCTGCACCAGGCTGGGAAGACTGAATCTGCAATAGGCAAGCCGCTTGGTGTGAACAAATCAACTGAGGGAGCAATAATTAGAATATATATATATATATTTCCTGGCTCACCTTATGTCAGCACACTGCGGGTCAGCTCTGCTCCCTTGACGTCTTCAGGACCACCTCTAGATCATTTTTTTGTCCTCGCTACAGGCCACCTTCTGGTGTAATTTCAAAGATCCTCCCTACCGCTCTCCCTCCCAGGTTCAGCCTCTCCTGGGATGGGTGGTCCGGCTGTTGACAGTAAATTTCCCTGAAGCCGGATGCAGGGCTCTTTAAGGCAGAATAAACTTCTGCATAATACATGCATGGGATTGCTTTATATGTGTCCATTGTTTCTTCTCTTGTTTTTCGCTCTCTCTTGATCTCCTCTGCTTGTTGTTCCCCCGCTTGTTTGGCGTCTGCTCACTGGGATCCGCTTGCTTTGGCGGCAGCCACGTGTTTGGTGGTTTCCATGATCGCGGCCGGACACCGTCTCCTCGGCGCCATTTTCATTTAGCCCGCTAGTTGGAAGGCTATTAGAAAGCCATTAGGCACCATGGATCCGTCGAGGATGCCAAACTCTGATTGGTGGCGGCAATTGCTCCTCCCGGAGGGCGGCATATTTAGGGGCCACTAGATTTCCTTCCTGCTGCTGTTTTATTTTTGTTAGTCAGGTAAGTGCCTCTGAAAACTTCTACTGCTGTGCTCTGAAGTCTTGTTCCTCCTTCTGATGCTCTCTCTTCGTTTCCTATAGCTTCTTTGCTCGATAGCAAGAAACGCAGATCCCGCAGTCATTCATCTCCTGAGTCAGATGGAATGCATTCTTCATGTTCGGCATCACCATCATCATACCAGGCGTCCTCCCAGTCCAGGTTATGCGGGGCCATCTTCAGTAAACCAATCAAGGCCATCTACAGGCTTGTGTTGGGCAAGTTCGGCAGCGGCAATGCCAGGAAAGCGTGTTTGCACCAGTTGCCTCAGGATGCTCAAGGGGGAATCGGATGCTATGCAAATGAAGTCCTTCATTCAGCAGGTAGTGACAGAAAGTTTACAAGATCTGATTCACCAAGGCCCTTTTCATTCTCAGGAATCACAGTTAGTTCCTGACATCTTGCCAGGGACAGCGGCTAAGTTGGGAGAGTTGTCAGACTGTTCCTCTTCTTCTGAAGATGTAGAATCCAATTTGTTTAATTTTGACCTTATTGGTCTTTTCAATGTTGCTATTAAAGAAGCAATTGAGTGGGAGCATGAAGCTGATCCTCCAAAGAAAGTCCGGAAGTATTTTCCTTCTCTTAATAGAGCGGGCTCTACCTTTCCGGCCATGGAGGAGAAAAAAGAGCTGATCGAAGAAGAGTGGGAAAAAAACAGATAGAAAATTCAAGCTACAAAATCGTTTCTTAAAACTCTATCCCCTGAAAGCAGCTGATTCTGCATTGTGGGACTCGCCTTCATCTGTGGATGCTGCTCTTCAGCATTTGGCCTGACATGTATCTCTGCCCCTGGAATATTCAGTATCCTTTAAGGACCCAATAAATCGAAAGGTTGATGCAGATTTGAAGAGGCTTTTTTCGGTGGCAGGATGGAGCTGTCGGTCCAGCAATTACCTTGACCTCCATTTCCAAGGCTTTGAAGATCTGTGTTTTGAATATAGAAACAGCCAGAGGAAGTGTCAGACCTCTGGGTTTGGAAGATCATCAGCCATGGTTATCGTATAGAATGTTTGCGGGTTCCTCCTTCCCTATTTATAGAAGCTCCAGTGTCTTCAAATCTGAAGAGGTCATCCTTGTTAAACTACGTCAAAAATCTACTTTCAACAAATTCGGTTTCTCTGGTTCCAAGGAAAGACCAAAGGAAGGGGTTTTATTCTACAATCTTCCTCGTGCCAGAAACTTCCATAGGTTTCAGACCAGTGCTGGACCTAAAGAAACTAAACTCCTATGTGAACACGAGATCTTTGAAAATGGAGTTGGTACAGACTATGTCAGAAGGGATATTGGATGGTTTCAGTCCACCTCGTGAATGCCTTCTTGAATGTTCCAATTGCGCCCACGCACCAGAGGTACCTTCAGTTTGCTGTGGCGAATCGTCGGGCCCTTCTATTTGGTCTTTCAACGTCCACCAGAATGTTTTCCAAGAGTCTACTGTCCGTCATAGAGATCCTGCGCTTACTCAACATCCAAACTTTTCACTATTTGGACGACATCTTGATTTTAGCCAATTCCAGACAAGTGTTGCTTAACCACCGGGATCTGGTTTTACAAACCTTGGCTCATTTCGGCTGGTTGGTGAATGTGGAAAAAAGTCAACTTACTCCAACGCAGAACATGGAGTACCTGGGCGTGATACTGGACTCCTGTCAACACAGAAGTCATGGCTTGTGTGCAGGAGACCCTATGCAGAACATCCTTATCCGCGAGGAAATGTATTATGCTTCTGGGTATATTTACATCCTGCATTTCGGTGGTGCAGTGGGCAAAGTTGCTCATGAGAAAGTTTCAGACAAATTTCCTTTGTCAATGGAACCTGATATCTCTGGATCAAACAATCCTTCTGCCTCAGGTGATTCACAAGGATCTTCTATGGTGGATTGCCTCCTCATCTCTGTCCCCGGGCGTGCTTCCCCGTCCTAAAGACTGGATCATTCTTACCTTGGATGCCAATCCCCAGGGAGCCCGCTGGCAGGTGCAGGAGCGCTGGAAAGCTCCAGTGCTGCAACATTCGAATTGGCTGGAGTTGAATGTCAAGGCTCTGACGGCTTATTACCTGCTGGGGGCGGAGAACACAATAGCGGACCGTCTCAGTCGGAAGTTCCTGGACAACACAGAGTGGAGTCTGAACAGCAAATATTTGCGGCTGATCTTTGCAGAATGGGGCACTCCGAACATCGACCTCATTGTGACTCTGTAGAATACCAAACTTCCTGTTTCTGTCGAGGTACACATTTGCCCAAGCTCTGTCCCAGGATGCCTTTACAGTGAAGTGGGATTATCCTCTGGCTTACATCTTTCCACCAATACCCTTGGCTCGGAGAGTCGTTCGGAAGATGCGGACAGAGTCGGTTCAGGACATAGTAGCAAAATATAATTATGAATGTGCTGCATTTCAAATAAAACAATCAAATTAAATGAAAAAAACTCGACAAACCTCTATAATAAATATGTGCTAAACAGTACATGCAATCAATGTGTTCGCAGTTGCTTTTTCTTGTAAATATCAATCCTTAATAATGAATCTCCATCTGAAAAGTTTAATCATGTATTCCGTGTTCAGATGTACACAAATGTGGAATTACATGTATAAAGTGTTTAAGATTTGTCCCAAGTGCACCACACTCTTTATCCTTCCACAGGGAAAGTTCTTTATACAATGTCCATACACCAATTGCAATGATCCCATCTTAGTGGGCCGCTCACCTTATAAGTAGACCTAAGCAGGTGTAAAATCGCTTTAGAGGATCTCCAATCGATCTTATTCAAAGGCCGTCTCTCCACAATCGTTTCACAGAAAATGACGTCAGCATGTCATCATGACCATATACAATAAAATATTAAAAAACTCCATAGTGTAAAACCGTAAAATTTAAAAACTCCTTTATTTAAAAAAACTACTCGCATAAGGAAAGTTAAGATAAAACCTCCAAGTAAGATGTTTGGCTGACAATTCTTTCTCTGTGTCACCGTATTTTCTGGGTTGAAAACGGGTTAAATTGTCGCTGTGCTGCCGACCATGCGATCTCCAATCCACGTCAATCTCATGAAAGGACAATCTCAGCAAAGGACACAAACTTATTCCAAATCCTAGTATGAGTACCGTTCGTGGATGGTGTCCTAGAATTCATTAGGGTACTGATGACGTTCCCAGATAGTCCCTGGTTCCTTAATCTGATCGATTCAGCAACCAGGCCGCTAGACGCAGGTGCTTGGGATGCGGGTGAAGACAGTGGCCCTGGTGAAGCAGATCTTTCTTGAGTGGCAAAAACCATGGCGGAACCGAGGCCATGAATTTAACATAAGACTTCAGAACCAAAAACGTATCTAGATTTTTGGTTCTGATGAAGATGGTTTAACCATTGAAACGCGTTAATCCGAACTTATCCACTGCTTCCTATGATGCTCTGAAGTCCAGTTTGTTTTGTGGCATACGTTTTCTTGCTTATTGTATGACCCTACAAGCTGTAGACAGATGGATTTTTGTGAGTATAAGTCTTGCCTTTTTGTTTTAATTAATAAACAAAGGGTATTACACAAAGTGAGGGCGCTGTTCTTGTTTTCTTTCTTACATGCAATCTGAGGCACCCCAACCTGCAATCGAACAGCAGCCCCTCCGGTGAAATCATATGGAGTCTTTACTCTGGTCCCCTGGAAAATGAGAAACTTCTGCTAAGCGCTGAACAGTTTGGACAGTACGCTATAGGGTGTTTTGTACCTAGGTCTGCTGCTAAGAAACATAATAGATTTGTGCATAACTAGGCTTGGGCAGTGCAGTTAGCATTTGGGTGAGACTGTGTATTTACTATTGAGGTGGATCAATGTGTACTAATGATTAACTGATTATGATGCTATATTTATTATTTTATAGAAGCGGTGTATACTGTAATTCTGGGGCTAGTAGTTCAACAATGCTAGAGAGCCTGTTAGGGAGAACTTATATTCAGTACTGTTCAGTAAATTCAGTGCACATATGAGATGAGAGGCACGCAACTACACTGGCATGTGGAGCATTAAAGTCACAATCCCCCCCCCCCATGGTGCTTTAAGGACTTACCTTAAATGATGCCCCTTGATCCGATCATCTTCTTTCCAGCAGTTTTCAGCGCTGGTGCCGGTCTCTGATCCAGCGCTGACTACTGTGTCTTCTGAGTCCCACGCTGTCTGTCCTACGTACACACTCACGGCTGCATGCCTTGACCTGCACTGTGTCTCTCCTCTTCTCCCCGCCAAAGGTCTCTACTGTGCATTCGCCGCCCCATCATCCTTCACGGCCGAATCTTCAGACTGGAGTGAGCAGCAGAGACAGAGGTAACTCTTTTATATATATTTTTAATGTTTTTGCATATATCTACTGCTTGCTAGCTGTAGATGTATGTAAAAACAAAAGTGACTTTAATTCTACTTTATTTCTGACTTGTGGTGCGAGTATGCACAGGCTTCTGCAGCACACCCAGCCCCACCTGCTTCTGGTCTAAAGCTGTCTTTACGCTGAGCCAGATATGCTCAGTGGGTGGCCCTGTCTGCTGGCTTCCACCCATCTTCCTTTGTAAAAAAAAAAATCAAAGGAGCAGAAAATTGTTGGTCCAACAGTGCCTGCATCCAATCAGATGCAGTTGCTGTTCAGGGCTGACTGTCAAAATGCATTAGTCACAAAGAGAGATTACTCTACCCACACTATCTGCTAGATATTTTGCGTTCACCTCAAAAGCTGAACGTAAAAAAATAAAATAATATTGTATACCAACTGTCACTAAATGGTGGGCCGCGATCGCCGACCTGCACTGGGTTATGGCTAGCTGACATTGTTTCCTCTGCCAGCCATAACCCAGCAGAGGCCCTGCCTCTGCTTCAGTCATTGTTGCTAGGACGGCTGGCTTCCTAGCAACCAATGATGTCAGGCAGGCATGGCCCACTCTTCAACTACAAGTATATGGACAGCTCTACAGCCACCGATATCGCTTGTACTAGTCGGCTATCGGGGACCGTCTCATCAATACTGTTCTTGGGAACACACACCAGCAGCTGCGTGTTGTAGTGCAGCTGCTGGTGTGACTGTATCCTAAATGGTGGAACGCGGTACAGACACGGACTGAGTCACTGTTCTGTCTGGACTGCGATTCGGACCTCTCCTCGATGAAAATTTTACACATCGGACCTCCTTGTCATTTAATTCACTACCCCTTGTGTTTACCTAGCTAGAGTCTAAATGGAAGCTGCAGTGGCTCTCTGGCCTGCTGCTTTTGGAGTTAATTGAACCCTGTGATTAGAATTCCTTTAGTGGAAGGGACTTAACTGAAAGCAGCCCAATGCACTTAATCTACCATGGATATCAAGTGACAAAAATGCCACCATTATTTCGTAATAGGCTCCTCAGGGTACCTGCATGTCAGTTCACCTAAAAGATGCAATTGATGGAGGTGCCCTCCGCACACCTTTCAGCAGTCCCGGCCAACAATCAAATAAATGGTGCTCGAAGTAACTTCACGGATGGCACCGTGCAAAACACAAGATTGAAGAAAATAGGTCACCAGCACTCCATAAGTTAAAATGAATGAGTCCTTTTAATGGACAATGATGTCACAGAAATCCAACATGAGCCGACGTTTCGGGGCCACACAGGGTCCCTTCTTCAAGGCAAGAGATGTGACCATTCCTTGCCTTGAAGAAGGGACCCTGTGTGGCCCCGAAACGTCGGCTCATGTTGGATTTCTGTGACATCATTGTCCATTAAAAGGACTCATTCATTTTAACTTATGGAGTGCTGGTGACCTATTTTCTTCAATCTTGAGTTCACCTAAAAGCTCATCTAAACCCGTGAACTGCATAGAATCACTTTCTCCAGACCTTGTCAAGCACACTGCATGACGGATAACATCAACAGTCTATTCAAAGAATGTGAAAAGCTATATGGAGCCCATTTGAGATAAGCATGTGATATGAGCATGACAGGAGAGAAAGGAGGAAGTGGGGGCTATCATTTTTTTCTCTTTTATGACTTTTTACATTTATGTACTACAGATATTGGACTTTTTTATTCTGTTTAAATACAGCTATTATATTTTATATGTACATATGTGTAGTCTGAGGTACCTTTTAAAAGTCCACATTTCTTTTTTTACCAAGTGATTCTTGCTTATCTAAACCCAATATTTTTTTTTTAAATACTTTGGCTACAATAGGAAGTAACAGGAAATCTCTCCAAAGTGAGGCAAATCCCGTCTTAGATAGTTCTCACCAGAACAACTTTTGGAAAATAGAGTGTGAAACTTCTCAGTTGGGATTTTGACAGCAATAGAAACCTGATGGGGATTCTATCAATTCACCAGGTTTTCTGGGTCAGAACCCTCCCCAGAACTATTGTGACACAATTGACCCATCACTATAATGGGAGGCTTGACTGGTGAATAGTGCAGGTAAGGGGCTGGGCCAGGTTAATAACGAGGAGAGTCGATTGATATTTGCATTCCAAAGCACTCTGTTATTTTCATCCTTCCAGGTACTGAATAGCTAAGGTAAGCTGATATGTAGAATTTTTATTGCCTTTAATGTCACTTATACTTTTAACTTATGGGGGTGCATTTTAATACCTTTTTAGCATAGGGTGATCATTTGTCCCTGATTTCCGGGGACATTCCCGGATTGAGGAGACCGTCCCTGGACAAATTATGTCCCTGGGAACATAAAATGTATTTTTTTTATACTCGCCTAATCCCTGGATCCACCGACGAGCGCAGCCTCCCGTCTCCCATGCTGTCAGAAGCTGCCTACAGCGTGGGCCGGTCACTATTTAAACAGGCGCGCGCTGTATGCAGCTTCTGAGAAGATACACTGTTAGCGTAGTGGGAAGCCGGCTGCGCATTTTGCGCAGCTCACGCTACGCTAATAGTGCAGCCTGTCAAAAGCTGCATAAAGCGCGCACCGCTTTAAATAGTAACCAGCACACGCTGTATGCAGCTTCTGACAGCGTGGGAGAGGGAAGGCTGCGCTCGTCGGTGGAGTATAACAATGTTTTAATTTTTTTACTCTATGTTCCCGGGGACATTTCCAAATTTACCAAACACACTGCATATATAATTTTAGGAAAATATGCTAATAAAATAGTTTTTGTTTTTTTTACCTTTTGCCAATACAAAAAAAAAATGTCCCTGGATTTCATTTTAAAAATCTGGTCGCCTCATTTTAGCATATATAAGCTGTATGTAATTTGCAACAGGGAAGTTACTTTCTGTGCGCAGCTGTATATATTAAAACCAGTGTAACATGCACTTTAAGTAAGTAAGTGTATGTGACACTATGCATCCCTATAGAAGATAGGTTCTGTGGAAGCTTGCAACAAAAAGGATATTTTAAAACTTTTACCAAAGAGGCTAAGAGGTGGCTGCACCAGCTTCAGAAAGCCTGTATCTGTACCGAATGGCAGGCAGTGCTCCTGCAATTTGTTGGTGTCAGAACTTGCCCACCCCTTCCTGCTTCCTGCACATTCCCATTGACAAGTGAGGCAGCCTGCCATAGAGATAGAATAGAAATGTGAGTGGGTGGGATTTTGTTGTATGTTCGGGTGTATCTGCAGACTTTTTGAAGCTGCTGTAGGTATGTGGAGTCACCTTGGCATTCTATACCTGCAGCAGGTTTTTTTCTTCTTCTAGAGAAAGAGTGTCTTTAAAATGAAATATAAGTACACTTTAAAACAGAACTCCAGGATTTAAAAAAGCTGCAGTGTAAATATAAGTTAAGTGTTGAACGGTATATGTCACTTTAAGCATGTTTGTGGTTACTGTGATATTTATACTCATTGAGGCCAGAATGATGGTAAGAGCGGCTTTGACAACTGGGGGCTCTCCTACATGAAAGCTGTGTTCTTTGTGTCTCGCGTGCTCTCTTCCTGTGCCAATTTACAGAATGTTTTGTATTATGTATATGGGTTCACAGTAAACAAAGCATTCTATGAATGGATAAGAGGAGAGGAAGAGCGGACAAATGACAGTGTGGCTACAGTGTATGATAGCCGCAGCTCTCTTGTCGCAATGCTGGAAGTATAACAAGAGCTGTATTATCCGGCCTGAATAAAAGGAAAAATATTATAGTACACACACATGCTTTAAGTGGCATACACCTCAAGAGCTCATGCACACTGGCTTAATAAAATACCTACGTAGGATCTTGCTGGCAGAAAGAGCCTGTGTAAATAACACATGTTGTAGTCTGTAAATTACTTGAGTAAAGATGTGTAGACATCTATAAACCGCTCACATCTGTAAAACATGTTTTCCATTTCTCTAGCTCAGTTTTCAGTCTCAGCATGTATACATGTAAATGCCTTTTACATGTGTACACATGGAAAAACTAACCACAGGTGCAGAAGTTACGACTTTAATATTAGGCAACTGAACGCAGCACAGTATTGCTAAGCACAACGCAGCTGTGTGAATAGGTAAATAATATACAATACTACTACGTTCAGATCAATAGAAAAGTATATGCTGTATGGATTTGACTGCAGTATTTTTACACTTGTGTGTAAAATAGGAAATAACTGTTTTACTTACCTGATCCCCTCTCCCCCCAACTCTGTCCATGCTGCTAGACCAGCCCTTGCAGCCTCTTCTCCACTTTCGTTCGGCGCTCTAAGGACTGCTGACATCATCATGTCTAATGCAGGTTTCCTAGATGTGGGGATGCTGAGGGACATTCCACCAGTCAGAGGCGAGAGAGATGAGCTCTGACCGCCAGGGGAGCAGGGATCAGGTAAGTAAAAGTGCTTTATGTTGGAAATGCAGCAGCATATACTGTATTTATGTATTTTGGGCTGTAGATGGGGCTGTGGTGCAGTTTTAGTGTTTGTGCATGTTTATCTATGGGATACACAGGAAGCTCTGTATATGTTTCCTTCACAATGCTCTATAATGCTGTATTGAGATGTCCTTCTAAGCAAGTAAAACCTAATTTAACATTCCTCAGAATCTCAGTGTTTCGTCTAAACACATAACCAACCCTTTTTCCTCCGGTCCCCCAGGCATAAACAAGCAGCTAATCCTTGCAATGTTAAAGCGGAACTCTGGGTGAATCATATATTAACCCTTGCAGTGGAGCTACCCCCGCACTACAAGGGTTAAGTGCTCGTTTTATCTGGGGAGCTAATAGTTATACTGACCTGAACCACCATCCTGGCTTGCTCTTAGGCAGGCTCCCTTCAGCCTTGCCTCCGCTCCATCGGTCTAAGGTCCTGCGACGCATTGAGGACGCCGAGAGACATACAGTCGCTGGAGCGGAGGAGGCAGGCTGAAGGGAATGGTGTAGCGAGTCGGGATCGTGGTCCGGGTAAGTATAACTTTGTTATTTAGCTCCCTAGACAAAGTGAGCACTGAACTGCAAGGACCCCACTGCAAAGACTAAGATTTGATTTGCCTGGAGTTCTGCTTTAAGTTGAAGTTACTGGAACATGCCGCAGTTCTCTGCCATTTGGATCTCTGCATTAAAAAGTTCTGATCCATGCTTGTGGCTTATGAATATGAATTTGGGATATTTAAAGATTCAGTGCTGTATTGTATTTTTAGACATTTTACATTTCTTTGTAGATTACTTATTAATGAATGTTTTGAATTTTGCAAGCCACAATATATCATAATAAACTATGTCCATAAAAGAATAAACCATAGCCACGAATGGAATAGGTACTATGCATTATTTGTAAGTGTTTGCACAGTGGAGCAAATTTAACACTTGTTGGGTGCATGTGTTTGCCGCTAAATGGGTAAACCTATGCCTGATATATTTATACAGACAATGTCAATATTGATTTTAATGGACCTTTAAGCTTATCGTTCTTGCAATAAAATAAAATAGCAATAAAATAACTGTGTTCTTGGCTATGTTGCGGAGTGCAGTGCAAACCAACCTCGACAGGAATGCATCCTATAACACTGGTGTGCTTACAGCAATCAACTTTTATTCCCATTTTTTCTAAAAACAGTTTCTGCAGTTTTTTAGCACCACTGGCAGTGTTATATTTTGTCGCAAAAGCCGTCTCACTTTTGCTGGACATCTAGGTGTGCGTATGAATGTGAGAAAAATATCAACTATGTAATGGAATAGTAAAAAAAAAAGACTATATTTATTTTTTTATTTACAGCAAAAGTTATCAGAATGCATTGAAGGGAATTTACTTAAAGGAGAACTATGGTGTCAGGGCTTTTCCCCATAGTTCTCCTAAGGGTAACTATGAGGCTGAGTGATTTTCACTCACCTCATAGTTCTCCTTTTAGGTGGGAGCAGACAGAATCTGGAGCAGCTGCGCATGCCAAACAATTGCCTTCTAGCTTTCATTTTTAAGGGCCTGTTTACATGATATCAGGTCCGGATCAGGTGTGGATCTGCAGACGCGGTGCTACTGATGCAGTGCGTTTTGGCCGTGTTTTTGATGCGTTCCAGTTAAAAAAAATATATATTTTTTTGCTGGAGTGCCCCACTAGCAGTATGTTAGCTGCAGTGCAGTGCGTTTTTGACGCGTTTTGCGTTTCCGGTCCGTTTCCTGACCGTACAAAATGTGACATGCAGTATTTTTTCTGTCGTAACCTGAACGGACTGCGCACGTGAGAACTGTAGCCCATAAAACACATAGGGATACATTGGGATGCATTTTTAGTGCAGGAGCGTACGGATCAGGTCAGCACAGAAAACGGACGTCGTGTGGCTCTAAAGCTTACCTGAACAAACTGAAGAGAGAAGCTGATTGGCTATGCACAGCTGCTTCAAATTCTGTATGCTACAGTGTAATTAAATTCCCCCTGCACTTAGTTATGTTTCACCATTGTAGTCATATAGATCTCTCGGTAGCAAAGAGATTTAAAGTGATATTACATTTAAAAGGTTTTGAACAATTTCACTTACAATTTCACTTACGGAGCCTTGGTGTAACCTGTTCGCAGCCCTGGTGAGAAACTGCCCTAAAATAATTAGTCTGTATTGTTTTTAGGGATGCACCGATACCGTTTTTTCAGTATCAAGTACGAGTACCAATATATTTTTTTCGGTACTCACGGATACCGAATACTGATACCGGAAGTCCCATTAAGAAAGCCAGGCGGCGTGTAATGACTCGCCAACCGGCTTCCCGATTAGCAGGGAAGCCGTCTCCATGCTCCCTCGTCACCAGGTGACGAGACGGCATGGAATCCGCTTTCTCGCCAATCAGGAAGCCAGGCAACGCGTCATTACGAAGGAGGTGACGAGGAAGCATGGAGCCGGCAAATCAGGAAGCCGGGCAGCGTGTAATGACTCGCTGCCCGGCTTCCTGATACCAGAAGCTCACGTATCGGGCCAGCATCGGAGCATTTGGGCGAGTACAAGTACTCGCCCAAATGCTCGGCATCGGCACCGATACTAGTATGGGTGCATCCCTAATTGTTTTAGAAAAAAAATCACATGTCCCTTTAAGAAAAACTATCGGTAATTGGTATCCGCAAGTACCTGAGGGAAAGTACTTGGTCTTAAAAAAATGGTATCGGGACATTCCAAAAAATAGCTATGTTTTATCTTCCAGAGTTTTATCAATAAATTTCACATGGATTAGTTGCAGGCTAAGTAGCTTGGCGTATATAATAATAGTGCACAGTTCAAAGTCGTAATCCTACTTTCAGCTCACTGTGTTTCAGCATTCGTCTACATGTCTTTGTTTGCACACTGGTATTTAGAAACGCCTCTGCAAATAGTGAACAATGACCCACAGAGACTTTATGACGTGAAAAATAGTTTTTCCTATCTATTGTGTTGTGTTTTGGATGAGGAACGTTGTTCAGTGAGCTGTTTGTGGGAGAGTAGGCACTCTGAACACAAGCAATAGCATTGAATGAATTGTCAAAGGTTTCTTTATATTGCCTGCATACCATCACAGAAATAAATCAATAAGTAAAAGTATGGTGTCCTATAGCAGCCAGTCAGCAGTGATCTTTCACTCTCCTTACTGCGTTTTTAACTGTCGAAAATTGAAATGGAGTTCTGTGGGTACAGGACTGAGCACAATATACTAATAACACTGCCTTACATTTATTGTGTCATCTGCAGATCTCATTTGGTAATACCCACAAACTGTTGGTACAAAATCTCCTTTAATCTTCCTTCATTTTTATCTTTTTTTTTTTCATCTGTTGCTTGCTTCCTTCCTTTAACTGTATTAAGATCTACTTAAAATTATATAACAGCACTGTCATCACTGCTAACAGCAAAATGCACAGTAAGGCTGCATTCACACCTAAGAAGGCACATAGCCAGGTGATTTACAGGCATTTTTGTGTGCGTTTGTACGCAGGTTTTCTAAGCCTTTTTATCCACTATTTGTAGTACTATAGCAGAATTTAGTGTTTTTAGCCCTATAGACTTTAAAATGGGAGGGCCTGAAAACGCACTTTATCGTGTTTTTCGTACTTTTTCATACATTCCCATTAAAGTCTATGGGGCTAAAAGTCTTGATTCTGCCTGAAAAGCTTCTCTACTTTTTGGAGCAATAGGTGTTTGCTACAAGTGCTTGAGTGCTCAACTGTGAACGAGCACTAGGGGTGCACCGATACCAGTTCAGATACCAGTGCCGATACTTCCACCACTGTCCTGAAATCATTAGTCTGTATTGTTTTAGAAAAACTGTCACATGACAATAAACAAAAATGTATCAGTACTTGTATCTGTGAGTACTTGGGCAAGTATCAGTACTTGTAAAAATGGTATTGGCGCATCCCTTTATTTATATTTATAAAAACAAAATCACACATTAAAACAGAGATGTACAAATCCCAGGAGCTCCGTGTGCTCAGCTGCCTCCTAACTTTTGAGTTTTTCTCTAGTTTAGTCTTGCAGCTGGAAAAGTATCTGTACTTGTACTTGCACCGAGTACGGTACTTGGTATCGGTGCATCCCTAACTGGCATCGTAGAAGAGGATGGGATTTTTACCCCGCATTCACACCTGTGCGTTCTGTGATTGCGCGTCACGTTCGCGCGCACTTGTGTGCATTCTACATTTAGTTCAATGAGGCCTGAACACGCAGCAAAATAGCTCATGTAGCAGATTTTGCAACACCTCTTTGCTTTCGCATTTGAAAGCGTGCAGACATGGAGCAAAACTGCGCAACTTCCTGGCCACATTTGGGGTGCATTTGAGGTTAATGGCAATGCAAGCGTGTTTCGCGAGCTAAATGTTGAGTGTTTTTTAGCTTGAAAGCATGAAGCTGCATTCCGGTGCTTCCATTGAAGTTTATGGGGCATAAAACCTCCCATTCTGCTTCAAAGATAGCTTGTGTACCTTTTTGTGCTTCAGGCATTAAGCCACAGGCACCTGAGCACTCATGTGTAAACAGACATATGCTTGATTCTGCCTGAAAAGAAGCTCCTGTACTTTTTGGAGCAATGGGCATTTTGCAACTGGTGCTTGAGGGCTCAGGTGTGGACAAGCAATATAGAGCAACATTTAGCTTGAAGCTACAAAACACATAGGTTTAAATGGAGCCTAAAACTGCATTCTCACCTGAGCATGAATATTTTACAGGAAATTGTGGAGTTTTTTTTTTATTTGTGTGTTGTTGCACGTTTTCTTAGCGGTTTTGTTTTAGCCAGTGGTCCAAGCTCTTTTTCAGGTGCTTCCTTTGAAGTCTATGGGGTCTAGAAAAAAACATTCGCCTTCAAAGGTAGCTCCCTTTTTGAGCTTCAGGGGTCGAACAGACACAATCTAAAAGCGTGGAATTTTGGTTGTGAAGCATTTTGGAACTTTTAGTTTTAGGCTTCAAAATGCTTAAGTGTGAATCAAGTTTAATAGTCACTATTCTACGTAGACATCAAAATGAGCCAATGTGACTTAACAAAATAGAAAAACTGCAGTTATTAATCCAGCAAACTGTAAAAAGTATTTTCATCAGGTCACAAAATTTCAGTACAGTTGACCAGACCGGCAATGCAAGAGAATATTAGAGATTACTTGCAATGCAAGAGAAAGCAAGACTATTTCTATGTTGCAATCTTGTAATGTTATTCATTAAAATGACCCTCTCTGGAAAATGAAAAAACTATCCCTGCTAAAGATGAGAGTAAATATGTACTTCTCTTGCTGGCTGAGCTGCCAAATGCCACTTCATTCAAGGGTGGTTCCTTTCGTCAACACATACATCACTACAGGCCACAGTAGTGACATGGAAGTCAGCGGGAGGGAACCAAGAGATCAACACGCCTAGATGTGTTAGCTTCTCTTCCAACGGAGTGGCATTCAGCGTCAATTTAATGAGTTTTAATTCTTAAATGTGGCAATTTGTTACAACCAACATGTAGAGTGAATTCTGAATTGTTGTTGTAGACATCCAAAAGCCCTGAAACTTGCTGGGTGTGGCCATCTTGGATGTAATTTCAGGGATCCTGTAATACACTGTAGCTTGTGGCTGTAGCTTGATTTTTTTCTTGTTATTACCTTCAATTTTGTAAGCTGGTAACATGGTCTCTTTAAAGTGCATTGTTAAAGTATTTGTTATTCCACTGGTAAATTTAGGAAAAGCAATATTTAACAATTCCTTCTCCTAAAGATGTACCTGCCCTTTGAAAAATAATTATCACTCCTTAAAGGCTATGCTTCAGGGCCCGTACACACCTAAAATGTAAGTCAACGAAGGTCCGTTGACTTGAAATGTCAACTTCCATTGACCTCCCTTGCATGCTGTTCTGTTGGTTTTTTTTGTAATTACCATGTCCTCAGTGGGTTTTTTTTTTATTATTTACTTCTGTTCAGTTGCGTTGTGATGCATCCGTTTTTCTTATGTTACGTTGCTCTGAAAAAAGTAGAGTATGCTCTACTTTTTTTCAGTGCACTGCAAGGCAACACAATGGAATGGAGCAGTGTGAACTGATCCCATTTACCCCCATACATTTTTCAGGTTACTTTCCGTTGGCATTCGTTGAAAAATGGATGCTAACGTATTCGGTGTGAACGGGCCCTAAAACTGGTAGTAAATCAGCCCAGAATTCCATTTCATTTGCCACAGACAAAAAGTTTTCTGAGGTATTGCTAAATGTCCTGGCTGGCTGGTTACACATGGTCTAGTAATAGTAAGCAGTGCAACAAATCCTGGCGTCATTTGCGTTAATTAAAAGAAACAAGAGCTTTTGTAGTTTCGTGGGAATAACCCAGAAATTCTGAAAATTTGAAAACTATTTTCAGCATAATTTAAATACTGAAAAGTTAGCAACTTTTTTTGTTTTTTGTTTCCCCTCAAGGTTTGCCAAGAACCTGTCTCCAGAACAGATCAATCTAAGCACATTGAGAGGGGAAGGACAGCTGACAGATTTGGAGCTCGATGAAGAGGCTCTGCAGAACATGCTGGATTTGCCCACATGGCTGGCCATCACACGTGTGTACTGTAATCGTGCTGCAATTCGGGTAAGGCGGAATCTCATGACGACAAGAAAACCCAAAAGCTGTGTTGAGGCAGTATGACACACACTGCCCATTCCACCCAAGTCATGGTAGTAATACTCACTGAGAATAATTGTATCTTACTGAAAGGTATATTTATTGGGCAATGTGGACATTAACTAAGTGCATTTTCTCTCACAGATACAGTGGACTAAACTGAAAACGAATCCAATATGTCTGGTAAGTAGTCGTTTTAATCTTTTATTGCTTGTTTTCATGGTTAATATGGAAAATGGAGTAAAGCAATTTTGCATATTCTGGCTCCAGTTACATTTGCCAAAGTATAAAATAAATTAAAAAAGAAAGTAGAGCGAGTAGGAACCCCTTTTAATGGCCACAACAAGTGTGCAGATCCAGGAACTCAAGTGGAGAGATCTTACTGAGAGAGTCTCTGAGATGTATAAATAAAAAAATGTCAGCAGGGTTATCTGTTTAGCAGCTACCAAAAACTGCATAGTAAGTTGTAGTGCTATTGCCTCTTGTGGTTAGTTTTGCACAATTTCTAAAGGCCAAATTTGATTTTTGTGCTTTCGTATCACCTTCCCAGAGATACTTGTATGTGGTTGGCAATGCATTATTGGCTAGCGCTGTTAATATCAATGGCAATGACCAAAAAAAATGTGGAAAAGGTGCAGTTGAATAAGGCTTAAGGCTTTTCTAACATTTAACACCTACTGCAGCCTAGTAGTGCACTCAAGGTGATCCCTTCCACAACCCCCACTATTCCTACTTTACTTATGATACATATAACCACAAAGGATATAAATCTGTGACCCAGCTGACCCACTCACTATATGTTGCCTGCAGAAAACTACAGGAGGGGCGGTTACAAGACCAGTCACCTTGCACAAGGAGAAAGAGCAGCAGTGACTGGATTTTATTGCAGGAAACTCCTGCATAGAGGCAGTTTCACACTGGGTCACTGCACAGATCTGGATACACATGCCTTTTGTATTAGGACAATATTTTTTCTTATCAGATATTTCTTTAGTACATATCACTAGTAACAAACTGAATGACTAGAATGGTCATGCTGCTTTTTATGGATGTTGTCACTAGATGCTGGATAAAGTAGAGATTGAAATGAAAACATGTGAGGATCCTCGACCTCCAAATGGACCTTCTCCTATCGCACTTGCCGCAGGGCAGAGGTGAGATGAGTGCTGTGTGTGTTCACTTTTAAAGCAGCTTTTAATGCCGCTCTCCATTTTTACCACTTCCTTTTCCTCTTGCTACATTCTAGTGAATACGGCTTTGCAGAGAAAGTGGTTGAAGGCATGTTCCTTGAGATTGGATGTGTCAGTATTAAGATTCAGTCTCATACATTTCGTGCATCTCTGCAACTGTGGCAACTCCAAGGTTACAGTGTCAGCCCATATTGGCAGCAAAGTGATTTGCGCTTCACTCGCCTCACCCATTCACAGCGTGGAGAGGTAACTTTTGTTTTGTTTGATTTTATTACCTTCTAGGTATACAGTATGGCTAGGTTCACACCTGGGCGTTCCAAATACGAGCGTTTTTTCAGCACGTTTTTTGCACGTTTCAAAACACGTTTTTTTGTTCACTGCAATGCGTGTTCGGCGCTCGTTTTTTAACCTCCCTGGCGGTATGATTCTCCCCCCCCCCCCCCCTCTTTT